ATATGAGCGAGACTAATGTCCCTAGACATTTGATTTACATGATGGGCAGGGTTTCCTGTATTTTTCAGGCACAATGATACACTAAAACATACTATGCATTGCCCTAAAACAAACATGTTTAAAAGGAAAAAAGGTCTCCCCCTAACTGGGAATTTTATATTTATCCTATTAGAACTCACCTCCCAGAAGCTTCCATTTGGCACTGGAACGAAAGGCCTCCATCTGCTTTACCTCTTCTGGACGCTCATCCACAAACTCAGCCACCTATAGGAATGAGAACATTCTGCTCAGAAAATCCACAGGACCTGTCCAAAGAGTACTACTGTCTCAAAAACCTGAAGTTAGATCATTCCCATTCTTAATATTCAGGGTATACACACACTCAAAATAGCCATGAAGAAACATGTAGTAGTCCTCAGTGTTATTTGCTCCATAAATTTCCGATTGTCACTGGAATGCCTTTCTTATAGATCTTTGGCTGACTAATCAATTTCCTAACAAAGGTTAATTTCTTTCATTACAAACCTTTTAAATTGACCTACCAGGTACACAATACCTCTTGTAAGCTACAAATGCTGTCTTCCTGATTTCTCCTTTTACATTCAGAGTGAAAGCAGGGGCTGGCTGCCTATCATGCCTGTCACTAGCCAAGTTTCCTTTCAAAACTTTTTTTGCTGTAAGTAGTAACAATGATAGGCTTTCTTGAACAAAACGGAAAGAAACCTAGAAGATGTACAAAGAACCAGAGAATTTTTTTCACAAAACCACATTTCACATCATCTAAATATGGCAATTTTCCCATAGTATCCTTGATAAGTGATTATCTATTCTACTCCTTGCAGAAGAGTCTAACAAGGAACTCACCCTACAAGGCAGTCTACTGCATTTTTTCGACAGTGCTAGAGAGTTCTTAGTTTTACTAAGCCCATATTTCCACTGACCCTAGCTCATGACTAGCTGTCAAAGACGGCTGGGGCAGTCACTTCTAGCCAGAGAGTGCAACTATGTGCATCATGTTTTGTGCCTTCCCTACACCACTCCCTACACTCATTCCTCCCAATAGTGCTCAAAGAAAGATTCCAAACTACTGGAGAACTGTAACTAAGAGCAGTAAATAACGTTCTGACTGCCTCACACCAGTAAGTGGCAGAACTGGATTTCAAACCCAGGTCATAATTACTCTTTCTCTCTTCTCCCAAAATCCTACTAGCACTCCACACATAACCTAGCTTAGAGGTCCTTAGTGTGCACTGAAAGCCCAGGCCTTCAAGCAAGATTAAATGAGATTATTTCCACTTCCTGTGTAGCCTTTGGCACGTTATTAACTCTCTCTGAGCCTCCATTTCCTCATTTGTAAAACTGGGATTGAAAGGATGGCTGTGAGGACATCATGGCATACTCCACGTAAGCTCAGCAGAGTGCTTGGCACATGGCAGATGCTCAGGAAATGGTCCCTGCTAGTTATTCCTGCATTCACTGCTGCTGTGGTGGTTAAAATTATTTTGCCATTTTGGAGGTGGAGGTGAAGGTGGCAGTGGTTTTGCCATAACAAAAATGACGTCAATAATGAAGACATAGTTTGACTAATAGTAAAGGCAAGGGGGTTAAAACCTGCCTTGCTTGCCGCCTTGTTCAGGATTTTGGGCAACCATAAAAGCAAAAGACAGTATCATATATTATAAAGGAAAATTAGATGTGACTATATAAAAACTGAAACCTTTAAATGTAAAAAACTATTATAAATGAAATACGGCAAATGATAAAATAAGACCATAATATATAAAACTGTTATGTTCCTATACAAATACCAAATAAATTCATAAAATCAAAATTCCCATTTTCTTTTAAAAAAAAAAGAGAAATAAGATATTCAAAAACTAGATGTTTAATAAAAACATAAGAAAATTTTTATTTCACCACTGCTGAAAGAAACTGGAAACCACTGTTCGCCTGCCACATTGGCAGAGGTATGCTGTTGCTTTAGTTGCTATTAACCATGCTCTGGTACTGATGAAGAAATGGGGAAATGGGGTTATTCTCATACACCACTCATGTGGTACCATCATTTGTAAAGCAATATGGGGACACGGTTTAAAAGGGTCCATTAATTTCATTTCAAGAGAATAAAAAATAGGTTCCTGATGATTTTAATACAAGATGGTTATAAAAGCATTATGATATTTTTAGTCTAGTAATAAGTCATGAGTCCAGTCATGGGATAGGGTAAATTAATATATTAAACTAGTAAGAAATTATTATAAATCATATTCTCAAAGAATATTTTAGGGCTTTAATAAAGAATCTGTAGCACATTAGTATCAGAGCAGGCTCGAAAACCATCTTATAGTATGACCCCAATTGTTGTTATTGTTGTTAAGTGCTGTTGAGCTGGTTCTGACCCATAGCGACCCTGTATAGGGTTTCTGAGTAGCAGCTGGTAAGTTTGAACTGCCAACCTTGCGGCTCAAACTAACTTTGAAGTCTAGCGCATTAACCCACAGCACCACACCAGGACTCCATGATTCCAATTGTGTTCCCAAAAAATAAATTTCAAGTATGGATAATCTACGAAGACAAAAAAAGCACAAGAGATATGCATTAAAATGCCGGCAGTTATTAGAAGGGTCAGAATATAAGTGATTACTATATTCTTTTAAAACCTTAAACTTGATGATTTCTAAATATATACAGCTTTTATAGTTTTTAAAAAAGAGTATAAATATTTCTTAGCTATGAGGGATTTGTTCTGACTGAAACTAAATTGGCTCCTTAGGATCCTTATTCACAATTTTCTAATTACTAAACACCCCCTCTTTTTTGGAGGGGAGGAATTATGTAATATTTTATTTGCTGACCTCTTTGAAACATCCCAAAATTAATATTGACAATGGAACTTTCTATTCTAAAATGTTATTCAACATGACAAGTTTCTAACAAAAAAAATATTTTAATGTAGTCCCTTCATTTCACTCTTGAAGAATCAACATGCGAAAATTACATTTAGGTGAAAAAAGTCTTTCAAATAACCTATTATAGAATTTTGTCAAGGATTAATATTAACTACAATCATCTGCAATCTATCTTTATAGCCTTTGAGTACAACATAGTCTATCAACAGCCTTCCTGTTGACTGTTTCTCCTGTTTACACGTTTTTTGTTTTTTTTTTTTAATTTTTTATGATGCTTTGAGTGAAAGTCTACAGAGCTTATTGGCTTCCTACTTAACAATTCACACATATTTGTTTCATGACATTGACTGCAGTTTCCATTTCACTTCTTTTCAGTGTTCACAGTCCACTGGTCTTCTTTCCTGTCCATTCCTGCCTTCTTGAGAAATGCTGCCCTTTTGAGTTCTTATGGTTGATTGTTCTAAGGAGTGTGTACCTCCCTGGTATCACTGTTCACTTTATAGGCCTGTCCTGTTCACATATATTTCCGTGAATATAACCAATGCTAGGTAATTCGCCTAGACTTTTTATCCATCTGGCTCTTAATCATCCTTCAAAATTCAATTCCAATATTTACATCCTTTATGAATTCTCCCAACTAATACCAAGTGTTAGCTGCTCTGCTCCAATAAACAACACTTGCTGCCTAAGGGAAATAGATCTCTAACATTTATCACATGTTGAAATTATTTAAAATTCAGTCTCCCAAATTAGAACCCTCATTCATTGCTGGGTGGAATGCAAAAGGTTGAATATTAAAACTACTGTTGTTGTTGGTTTGTAGTGCCATTGAATAGGTTCCAACTCATAGCAACCCTAGATAGGGTTTCTGAGGAGCAGCTGGCAGATCTGAACCACTGACCTTGCAATTCAAACCGACTTTGTAGTCCCAAGTGCTTATCCTACAGGGTCACACCCAGCAATCCCAATCCTAGAGATACACACTCAAAAGAAAACAGAAACGCAAACAGAGCCTGAACTCTAGTGCTTATTGAAGCACTTCTCCCAATAGCCCATAGGTAGAAACATCTAAACTGTCCATCAATAGATGAATACATAGAATAGATACAGTATATACATACAATGGCATATTACTCCACCATAAAGGAAATGAAGTTCTGATACATGTCACAACCTGGGTAAATTCTGAACACATTGTGCAGAGCTAAGTCAGCCAGCTACAAAAGGATGTCTACTGTATGACCTCACTCACATGAAATCACCATTTGGAGTCCGGGTGTGACGCTGTAGGATCAGCCTTAACCACAAGGTCGGCAGTTCAAACCCACCAGCTGTTTCTCAGAAACCCTGTGATGTTGTTGTTACATGCCGTGGAGTCGGTTCCGACTCATAGCGGCCCTCTACAGGGTTTCCGAGGCTGTCAATCTTTACAGGAGAAGAAAGCCTCATCTTTCTCCTGTGGAAAAGCTGGTTGTTTCAAACTGCTAACCGTGAGGTTACCAGCCAATTGGAACTCGATGGCAACTTACCGACTTAACGCCATTGAGTTGATTCCAACTCATAGTTGCCCTATAGGGCAGAATGGAACTGCTCTCTTGGATTTCTGAGGGCTATAAGTCATTACAGTAGCAGAAAGCCTCACCTTTCTCCCATGGAGAAACTAGTAGGTTTGAATCTCCAACCTTGTGATTAGCAGCCCAATGCTTAACCCACTGTGCCACCATGGATTTTAATAAAGATTATTAGTGGTTACCAAAGATGGAAGGGGAGGGGATTTTAGCTTAGGGGCATTAAGTTTATGTTTATGGTTGTGAAATTAATAGGAAAAAGTCAGTGAAGGAGATTGCAGAACATGGAGAATATGGCCAATGTCACTGAGCTACACCTGTAGAAATTGTTAAATTGGCAAATGTTTTTGTGTGTGTATATTTTCAACACAATAAAAAAAAAAAAAAAATCCAGTCTCCCCTCCTAGGGTGGTGATGGGTTATTGCTAAATGCTGTCAAGTTGGTTCCAACTCACAGTGATCCCATACAGGGTTTCCAAGGAGCAGCTGATGGGCTTAAACTGCCACCCTGTGGTTCAAATTGACCTTTTGGTCCAGTGCTTATGATACATCAGCACACCAGGACTCCCCTCTACTAGGTTGTAACCTCTAAAGTACAGATGCTTCGTGTTGTTCTTGTTGTTAAGTGTCCTCAAGTCGGTTCCAACTCACACCAATCCTGTATGAGGTTTCCGAGACTGTAAATGTTTGTGGAAGCAGAAAGCCTCATCTCTCTCCTGCCAAGCGGCTAGTGAACTCAAACCGATGACCTGGTGATTTGCAGTCCAGTGCTTATCCTACAGAGCCACGATGCTCCCAAATGTACAGCTACTAAGTTCTATTAATTTACATAGCTCCAATACTTAGGCAAGTAAGGAGCTCTGGTAGCATAGTGGATACAAACTGGGCTGCTAACCTCAGGGTCAGCAGTTTGAAACTACCAGCTGTTCCGTGGGAGAAAAATGAGACTTTCTGCTCCTGTAAACATTAACAGCCTCAGAAACCCTGTATAGGGTCGCTATGGGTTGGAACCGACTCCCCGGCACATCACAACAACAATACAGTATTAATGTTTAATTGAATCAAAGAATGTTGCTGCTATTGTTAGTTGTCATCAAGTCCATTACAACCCAGGGGAGGAAATTGAACCCCAACATTGTTCAGAAGCTGGAGTTCAATCATTAATTCCAATTATGGTTCTATCATTGATGCTGAGGAAGGAACGCCTTTCTCAGTGCTTGATTCACACTTGTACACTGATGACGCCGCCCTCCATAATCCGAAAAGTAGGTGTAGAGGCAGATGTTGAAGAAGACAATTTTAACCAACTCTTTGGAAAATATCATCTCTTCTCTGCCCTCAAATTCCCCCCAATACAAATGTATCCTGCACTAGGAGTAGAGATTAACAGGCTGTATCATTTCAAAGTCCTTGTAAGCCCTAAAGGCTACATATAGTTGTCATTAAGTATTGTTGAGTCAATTTTGACTCATAAAGACCCTATATAGGGCTTCCAAGTAGCAGCTGGTGGATTTGAACCACCGACCTTGTAGATAGTACTCCAGTCCTTTTCACATAGCACTGAACGAGAACTCCCAAATATACATACCACAGGCAAATCTCCATCATCTTCCTCTTCCTCCTTCTCCAGTTTAGTGGTGGAGATAGTTGTCCAGCTCACATCATCATCTACAATCCGCATTCTGAAGGTGTAAAAAAAAAACAAAAAAAGGCAAGAGGGAAAACCATTTGTGGATAACAGCCTATGAATACTTACCCACTGGTTTTAGGATTATAAAATCCTGCACAGTATGATCAACTTCATCTCACACTGCTGACCCCTCAGCTCACTATCTAACTGGTACCTGAAATGGGGCAAATTTCTTACCACATCAGTCTTCGCATACAGTTTCTCTGCTCCTCTCCTCATTCTTTGCCAGAAAACTCTTACTCATTCGTCAAGTCCCAGCATAACTGCAACGTCCTTAGGCATACTTTCTTTGATTGCCACTCCTCCCTAAGGCTAAACAACCCTGTCACACAAACTCAGAATACTTTTACTGAATTTTTCACAAAGGAAATTTATCTATTTTATTAGTTGTGTAAATGGTTGTTTAAGGCCTGTATCTCCACTAAACTGTAAGCTCTATCAGAATAGGGCTGTGCCTTTCTTGTTCCTATGCCAGTTACTGCACAGTGTTTACAGCCTTAACACCCTGCAGTAACTGGTACAGGAAAATTTCAGTGTCTGGTACACAGAGAACTATGGATGATACCAAATAACAGTAACTGCCATCACGTGACTAGTTATTATTTGAAAAGTTAGGGACTATCTCTAATCACAACAATGAAATACTCAGGAGGTACTAAAGGTTAATGTGGAGTCCTGGTGTGGTACTATACGATAACCACTGGACTGCTAGCCACAAGGTTGATGATTCAAACCCACCAGCTGCTCCTTGGAAATCCTCTATAGGATCTCTATGAGTCGGAATTGACTCGATGACACTTAACAACAACAACAACAATGGCTAATGTGTTCAATGGCTAACTAAAAGGCTGGAAATTCAAGTTATCAAAGTCTATCCAAGGTAGCTAGGAAAAGAGGCCCAGTGATCTACTTCCCAAAGGGCAGCTATTGAATACCCTATAGAGCACAGTTCTAAACTGACGCCATGGCAACTTTTTTTTTTTTTAAATCACAGCAACCATTTAATATAAGTAATATTAAAATAGCATTATTACCATTTTCAAGACGAGGAAACTGAAACTCAAGAGAGACTGAATATCAAAATCAAGGCCACACAGATATAAAGGGGTACAGGTAAGATTCAAACTCAGAACAATGTTGCTCCAAAGCTAAGTTTATTTCACTACACGACACTGTGTCTGTCCATAGAGTCCACCCAAGTGTGAGGGCAGGAAAGCAGAAAGCAGGTAAAAGCAAGTACCAAAGGTGGAAAGAAAATGGATTCATTCCCAGAAATTCTTTGGACTTCACTACAAAAGCTTTCTCCTTTGTAAAGTGACAGTAACAATAACAGCTTCGTGGTAGTGTCATGATGCTTAAACACGTTCCCATATGTAGAAAGTACCTAGGACAATGCCTGTCACATTCGACAAGTGTAAACGCTAGTTATGTCATACGACCAGCGTCTGGATCAGGGACTTGCGAAACTTCATAGGCAGGTTCTGGATCCTAAATATCCAAACACCAAGGCACTGAATTCGCTCCACCATCATCATTCTCAGGGCACAATATCCATTCACTAAGGAGAGCTAGAAAGACTACAAAGGCGGGAAAAGAGGAATGAATTTAAAGCCTAGCTTAGACAATCAAAGATGCCTGCCCAGCAGTGCGAGGGTAAAGTGGGGCAGCCACAGTAAGTCAGGGCCCTGAGCTTAGGCCGAAGCTGGCTGAGCAAACCGAGTAGGAACCTTGCTCCAGCGGGCAAGGAGGCCGAGAGCGGAGAGATAAGGGTTGGGGGACGGTGAGCCGTCACAGGTCCCGCTCCCGCCGGTACCAACTCACCCCTTGCCACTGGAACCGCCAGGCTTAGGCCGCTTTTTGCGACGCTTGCGACAGGACTCGGAGCCCCCATCAACACCGGCATCTGCCCCTGACAAGTAACGCTTTAGATACTCGGCCTTAGAGAGCGGCGGAACAGCCGCCATTGCAGTGGCGTGGGCGGGGAGACGGCTCGGCGCTGGGGACAAAATTCTTCAACGCGAACTGGATGTCAATGATTTAAAAAGGTGTGGCCAAAGCCGGAACTGGCAGAGTGTTTGGAAAGGCCCAGGTTGATAGGTGAAAATCCGCGAGTGATGCAGGTTAACGAGAAGTGTGAACACCTCCAAGGTCACCACCTGTTTATTCATCACCACACTATGCAGCAAACGCTGTGTTGGTATAGAGGCTACATCCACGAGCCAGCAAGGTGCCTACCCCAGCAGCTTCAAAAGTACCAAAGTGTAGTAACTAACATAGGCTGTGGAGTTACTCATCGCTGAGTCAGAATCAAGGTGGCAATGAATGGGTTTGGTTTGAGGGTTTTGTGGAGTTACAGTGAATTTAAATTTGAATCCTAGTTCCATAACTTCCTAGTTGTAAAACCTAGGCAAGTAATTTAACAAAATGGGGATAGCAATAGTACTTAATCAAAGGATTGAGTTCTTAGATAATGTAATTGTGTGAAGGGCTTAGAACAGTGTCTGGCAATTACCAATAAATTATTTTTTCTTATATTTGTATAGTATCTTTGTTGTTAGTAAGTACTGTTGAGTCAATTCCAACTCATAGAAACCCTATGAGTATAGGGTTTCTAAGAAGCAGTTGATGTGTTTGAGCCACCAACCTTTTGGTTAGCAGTCCAGTGCTTATCCTATAGCACCATGCCTGGACTCCATAAGTATCTTGGTTATTGTTGTTAAGTGCTGTCAAGTGATTCCTACTCATAACCACCCTATTTAGGGATTCAGAGGAGCAGCTGGTGGGTTTGAAATGCTGACCTACAGTCCAGTACTGATCCTACAGCTTATCTTTGTTGTTGTTGTTTAGTGCTGTCGAGTCAGATCCAATCCATAGCGACCCTGTATAGGGTTTCTGAGGAGCAGCCAGTGAGCCTGAACTGCCGGGTTGGCGGTTCAAACAGCTTTGCAGTCCAGCACCTTGACACAGTGCCACATCAGGAGTCCACAGTGTATCTTTAGGTGGGGCGCAATGTGCTAACAAACTTTCAGTTACTCTGAGAGGAAGTCAAGAACTTCAGACCCAATGGAAGACTACAAACAAGAGAATAATACACTTGCCTCTTTGGGGTACCTCAGGGGGAAGGGGAGGACAATAAAAACAGTGGCTTCTAAGGGGATATGCTGGGTCAGTGAAATTCAGGACAGAGTTCAGCTCAGAAGCTTAAGGCAATTGTTTTTTTGGATTCCAAAGGGGTAATCTTAATAATGACCATGAAGCCTTATTATGTTTTATGAAAACTGATAGATTTAAACTATGATGTTGGACAGTATTAAGTGGCATGGCCTGTCAGAAGAACAAACACATCTGTATTGGAAGTACAGCCAAAATGCTCCTCAGAAACCAGTATGAGAAAGAAGGCTTTCTTTCTCATACTTTGTACACATTATCAAGGGAAATCAGTACCCGGAGGACATCATGCTTGGTTGTTGTTCTTATGTGCCGTGGAGTCGGTTCCGACTCATAGCAACCCTGTACAGGGTTTCCAAGGCTGTAAATCTTTACGGGAGCAGAAAGCCTCATCTTTCTCCGCAGAACAGCTGGTAGTTTTGAACTGCTGACCTTGCAGATCGCAGCCCGATTCGTAACCACTACGCTACCAGAACTCCTTATCATGCTTGGTTAAAGCGAAAAAGAGTAGGATCCCCAATGAAATGCATTGGCACAGTGGCATTATCTGTGGTTTAAACACAAAAGCAATTGTAAGGATAGCTAAGGACTGGGCAGTGTTTCTTTGTTGTGGCAGAGAACTGACTTGATAGTACCCCACATGAACACTGAAAACTGCATTGGTGAAAACAAGACCAGGAAAATTGCACCAAATACATTTTCTTACCATCACAATGCACCTGCTCATTGCTCAAGAATTTCATTGGGAAACCTTATCCCATCCACCTTCAAATTTCTTTTTAATCAAAAATCTCAAAGGTCATTAAAAAGCACCACGACTTGAGTCCCTCAAGGATGCCAAAATTGCCACTTTGATGTGGTGTAAATCAAAGAGCGCAGACTTCAGAGAAGGGTTAGAGATGGGCAGATCACCTGTAGTTGAGTGCCTGAAGTAGTAGTAAGTTTAGTTGGAGAATGTCAGAAAAACGGTTTCTATGACTTTATTGCAATACTTTTTAATTTAACCTCACATACTGGGCTGGTGGTGGTTGTTTGTATGACATGGAGTTGGTCCTGACTCATAGCCACCTCGTGTAGGGTTTCAGAAGCTGTAAATCCTTACAGGAGCAGAAAGCCTGTTTTTGCAGCTGGTAGGATTGAACTGCTGAACGTGTGGCTAGCAGCCCAACTTGTAATCCATTAGGCTACCAGTGGGCTGTGTTCAAAACAATTCTATTGTTGATCTCTGAGGCAGCTCCAGTTCATGGCAACCTAAGTATGGGGGTGGAGGAGGGGGGCAGCTTTCAAGTTTGGGGAGAAATTCCAGTATCTTTTCAGTCCACTTTTACATGACCTTTTGAAGCTATAACATCATCATGAACATCGGTGTGTTTGAAGCCACTGTTGCAGCTGTTTTATCAGGCCATCTCATTGAGGATTTCCCCATTTTGCTGACACTCTACCAAACCTGTCCTTTTCTAGCCATCTTTCCTGATGGTATGTCCAAAGTAAGTAAACCAGTGCTTTGCCATCCTAACTTCCAAAGAGCTTTCTGGTTGTATTTCTTGAAGATCATGACTCTTGTACTAGAGGAATTCAAAAAAGTTCATGGAAAAACTCTGTTATCTTGTCATTCCATTTTTGTTTGCTCTTCTTAGTGGTATTGAGAGATTTGTCTTCCAGCTCACTGGTTCTGCCTTCCATCTCTTCTATTCTATTCCTTTGCCCTTTCAGTGTATTATCAATTTCTGATATTCTATTATTGATCATTTGGACCTTTCTATAGGTTTTCAATTGTTTCCAGTGCTGTATCTATCTTATTTGATTGTTCCTATAGCGCTTTCTTGACTTTTTAAAAAATGTTTTATTGTGAATTATATGATAGTTTATCCTGACTTATTTTTCTCAACTCCATTGCAAAGTGTTATTAAATATTTTATAATCGTTTTTCTGAATTCTTTCTCAGGCATTTCCAAGGCCTGCCCTCCTTCCAGAATGGAGTCCAGATCTACCTCTAGGTCATTTGTCTGAGACATTTTATCTTGTTTCTGGACATGTGCTGATATGGTCATCTGCTTTTGCTTCTTGGACATGTTTAGTGTTTATCTGTGGCCTTAATACTTAATTATGTGTTTTGGTGTTTTTTTATGCTTTCTGATTGCTTCCAGGTAGATGTGATCAGGATGTGGGCTTCCCTTTTCACAATTCTTAGTGCTTAACTCAGAGTAACTTTCACAGGTGTTGTCAGCCTCCCTGGTATATGGCAGTTGGCATTGGTTCTTGCCTGGGTTTTGGTGTTTTATAGAGTGTAATTGTAGCTGGACTCTATGGCAGCAGTTGCTGACTCTTCTTGGGTAATAAAGGAAGAGAAAGAGTCCCTCAAAGGTAGAAAGGGGAGCATAAAACAGAAAAACAGCACCAGCGAAAAAACCCAAAAAACAACAAAACAAAACTAGACTGAATGCTGTAGTCTATAATCACAAAAGGGAGAGGTGGGAGAGAAGGGAAAAAAAAAAAAAAATTCTGTAGCCTAATATGAGTATGACTTTTTATGTCCCTTCTTCAGCTTCTTGCTTTCAAAGCTGCCTGGGAGATTCCAAGATGCCACTGTTGGTTGTTATGCTATATCTCAGGCTTTAATTTAATTTTCGGCCTGTTTTGTTTTTAAACTCTTCTTCCCTCTCTACAGCCCTGTCCTGGCTTTCCTGTATTTAAAAAAAAAACGTTCAGAGTCTGCTCTTGGGCTTAGTATCTGTGCGCATTCATGGGGAGGCCAATGACCAGATTAAAAAAAACAAAAACATCAGAACAAAGCAAAACTGACAAAGTGTATTGTCCACCTTTGCTACAATGTTCCTGTGACATTTTTCCGTGGTGTTTCTGCTCCCCTGCTTGGTCTTGCCCAAGATGTCGGCTTGGAGCCTCCAAGCCCGGCAGATTCAAAAGTACGTGATTGCTTACTTGAGCTTCAAGTTCCACTAGCTGTAAGCAAGCCTTCAAACTTCAAATATTCCTATCTCTGTGGTCTCGAGTTTTGGAGCCCTGCCCTGGATCTGCTTTGCCTGGTATTCTGTGGTATGGCTGATGGCAAACTTCACTGCACCTCCACCCTAGCCACCATCCTCATTTCATTTTTTCCATGAACTTTTTGAAGGTTCTTCATATACAGATATGGGAGTCAGTCCTACATGAAAATAATAAAATGTCTAAGAATCCAATACAGAAAGATTTCTGAAAACAGAATTTTCAGAAACAAGTACATTTCAGGAAGACTGAGTCAGATTCCAGATAAGGAATAATCCAAATGAAAAGGAACCCAGAAGTATAGTATCACAGGAACCAGGGAAAAGTTGAGAATGTGGAGAATTAAGGATGAGAATCTTTTTCAAGTGGAAAACCACTTGTGAACTTTGGCAAGAGTTTAATACAGAGGTGAGAAGAGATGCATGACATCTATAACTAGGCAAGTCTTTGAAGTTAAACTTACAGTACAAATCTTAGGGTTTGAGACAACATCTCAATCAACAGGTCTTTGTAGAATAACACTAGACTGCAAGGTTGGTTTGAACCACAAGGTTGGAGGTTCTAATTCACCAGCCACTCCTTGGAAATCCTACACAGGGTCACTATGAGTCAGAAACAACTCAAAGGTATTTAACAAATGAACAAAGTACCCTGCAGCCAGCACCTAGGATATCACCACGTGAGACTGTCTGGAGTTAATGGGATGCTAGAAGCTACAGTGCAGAGAACACTGGCCAGAGAGTCTACACTTCACTGTGCTATGAATTTCCAATACAGCTATAGACAGCCCCCTCCCACTCTAGTTGAACCTATTTCTCCGTTTGTAATTGAGAGCAGACCAAAGGATCTCAAATATCTCCAATGGCTCCAGCATGCTGCAATCTCAGAGCTTTGGCATTTGCAATCCCCTCTGGCTGCAAATCTCTCTCCCAGCTATTCACAAGGCTCACTTCATCACCTCTTTTCATTCTGCCTGAATGTCAAATTCTCTATCACCTTCTTGTTGAGATCTTCTGATTTAAAATGATTGAAATGACACATACACAGCACCTTTCCCGGCAATGCCCACAACCCTTTCCTGTCTTACAGTCCTCCAGAGCACTACATACCATCTTGTACCAGTTTATTTGTTCCCTGTCAATTTTCCCATTGTCAACGGAACTGTCAATTGAAGCTCCGTGAAGGATGATGTTTGGTGTGCAGCACGTCACAGACACCCAAACATCTGTTGAAGTAATAAATGAAAATTCAGGTCCAATTCCAAATTACAGTGGTCACATTAGAGGAAATTTTATTCCGGAGTCTGAATTCTAACAGCATCTCTCAAAGAAGGCCAGAGAGATAAATACCTAGGCCAGTGCTGTTTGAAAGCCACCATCTTAATACTTCTAGCACAATAAAGCTAGACTCCCTCCCTACCACTCCTGTTGAAAAGTCAGTATTTACCCAAAACCAACTCTCAAACTCCAGCTGTGGCTGTGTTCCCCATTTCTCCATTTCTGTGATCAAGCTGCGAAGACCATCGGAGCTGCAGGCTGGAGTGGAGCATTCTGTGGAAGGAGGTAAATGCTCCACAGGAAGCCTGGTAATGACACAGACACAGTTCAGTTCATCTCCAGGTTTCTTGGCAGGCTGATTCAAAACTTCCAAAATCAGGTCAAGTGACACAGCGGGATTGCACTTACATCACCAATGGTCTAGAACGTGTGCCTAAATCTCTGACTCAACCCAGTGTCCTCCCTGCCACAGGCAAGGGCTCCTCAACCTAGTGCAATAGTGATAAATAACCCTGCAGTGTGAGCAGCACTGGAGGCTGGAAGCTGGAACCCCCACTGCTACCGCTGTGGGGCCAGGTCTGTCTCATAGCCTTCTGTCTTCATGTCATTGAGTCCCAACTCCTCATTCTGGTCAAATGTGCGCTTGTAACGTTCCACCTTCATCTCAGGGTCATCTTCAGGTGCATACACATTCTGCAGGACCAAGGACAGACAATCAGTGCTTCAGACCATCAAAGCCCATTCCCTAGCAGCAACTTCCAACTCCCACTTTCCCAGAATTTAGTGATTTTTTGTTTTGTTTTCCATTTGCCAACTCCCCAAGGCTAGGCTGATCTAATGGGAAGCAACAGAGCCCACATGAGTTGGGAGTAGAGCAGCCCAATCCCAGAGAGAACTAGGAGACAATTGCCTAGAACACCTTCTCACTGCATCTTCTTCTGAAGAGTGTGGCAATGATCTTAATCACAGAGCTGACAATAGTAACTACTCAATAAATGTTTCTATGATTTTCAACAACCAAGATGCTCCTGTCAGCTGAAAGCCTATCAGTTTTCCAATTTGGCCTCTGGCTGAAGACCCATTACTCATCACTCCACCATCAGACCTGCAGAATGAATACCCCAAAGCTGGGGACAAGAGCTAAGCCATTGGAAAATAAACCAGGAGTGTCTTCTTCCCTCTTTAAATACACTTACAATCCCTCCCACATTCTACTCTTCTCCCTGTGTTCCAATTTCTGCCCTGATGTGGCACTGTAGGATCAGCACTGGACTGTGAGTTCAAACCCATCAGCCACTCCTCGGAAACTCTATGCAGGGTCACTATGAGTCAGAAGTGACTCGATGGCACTTAACAACAACTTAAAATCTGAATCTAGTTGTTCTGTTTCTAGGGAAATGATATATAGTCAAAACATATCAGAAACTATAAACACATGAAATATCAGGGAAGGTTTACTTTACCTGTAAGTAGCTGTTTCCTGCTGGGTCATCCATAACAAAGTGGGCCTTCATGTTACCCTTGATGATCTAAAAGGGAGTGAGAACACAGTGTATAACTTTTATATTTCTCCTAGTTGGAAGAAGCTGTGTCTGCTGGACAACAGCCAACCCAATTTACATTGCAGAGTTCCCAAAGAATTTAAGAATTGGTGGAATTAGGGAGCTCTAGAAGTAGAAGGAGCTCTCTAGTTGCAGAGTACTTGAGAATCAGGCTGCTAACCTCAAGATCAGCAGTGTAAAACTACCAGCCATTTCATGAGAGAAAAAAAGGCTTTCTGCTCCCGTAAAGATTTACAGCCTTGGAAACCCTATGCAGGGTCACTATGAGTCGGAACTGACTCCATGGCATATAACCACCACCACCAGAAGTAGAGTGGAATGCCTGGGTGGCACAAATGGTTAAACATTGAACTATTAACCAAAAGGTTGGTGGGTCAAACCCATCCAGAGGCACCTCAAAGGTAAGACCTGATTCCCAAATGTCAGAGTCTTAAAAACCCTACTAAGCAGTTCTACTCTGTATACATGGAGGCCACGTTGAGTTAGAATCAACTTGAAGACAACTAACAACAATAAAACAGTCGAGTACGAGGGTCTAAGATAAGGATTATTTGAAAGATACTGAAGAAGCAATCCTAGCAACAACAAGTAAAAAATACACGTGGGGAATATACTTATGTATATGCAGCCTGTATGTGTATAGGTTTGTATAAAGGGCTTCAAAAAGCTAATGGAAAATGGAATGAAAAGATAATGGAATGTTTCCATGATTTTTTTGAAGCCCCTGCTTATGTATATACATGCAAGTGACTATAGATAAACACACATGTATATAGGAACACAAGAGACACAATTACAGATATTTTTTATATCACCAAGCATCATACAATATATATAATAGAGCACATGGGGGCACAATTAGGTATTTATTAGTCATAACCAAGCATCTCACAGGATTTGCTTTCTGGGTTTGAAGGATAGGACCACAGACTCACAGGATACCTCTGTCAAAGGCATCAAGTGGTATATGGAGTTGTAACAGCTCACGAGTGTCCATCTGAGATACAACTATTGGTCTCTACTTGTCCAGAGTGAAAAAGAGAGAAACCAAAGACCAAAGACTCAGAGAAGGAAGTAATATACCGCACTAACAGTTTACATGAACTATGGCCTCATCTCCCCTGAGACAGGAAGAACTACCTGATGCCCAGGATCAAGACTACAATAGATGAAAAAAAAAGACTACAACAGATGGACCCTGGTAGATTAGGTAGAAAAATGTAGAACAGAACTTCAAATCCTAGCTCAGACAGACTAGATGACTCTCCAAGATTACTGCCCTGATACTCTTTAAAACTTGAACCAAACAAAACTAGCTTAGCTGAATGACAGACAGGCTCAGAAAATAATGAATATCACCATGAGTACTGTGTTCCTTTAAAAAACCACCCATAAGACCAAAGGGCCAACAACTGCTTTAAAATAAAGTTGACAATGTACAGGGGGCAGGGAGACTAAATTAATGGTAACAGAACAATCCAAATGAAAATACTGAGAATGTCCATGCTTTGTGAAGAATATAACCAATGTCAATGAGCAATTTGTGTAGACACTGTTGACTGGGAACCTACACTGTTGTGTAAACCTCTCATCAAAAACACAATAAAATATTATTTAAAAGAAAAAGTGTGATGCAAATGAACTCCAAACTAGAATTGTATTCCCAGTCTCCCATAATTCCAGTATGAAGATAGAATAAAGAAATCCTTAGATATGTCTCAAAACTATTACTTTCCAATGACTCCTCAGAAAGCTACTGGAGAAGATACTCCAATAAAACACAGTAGAAAACCAAGACAGAAGATAACAAAAGATATCAGAAACCAGAAGACTCCCCAGCAGGTGGGGTAAGAGAGATGCCTGAAAGATGGGAAGAAGTGGGTATGTAGCCTCTGATTCACTGGAGCCCCAAGACTCCTAGTACTGGTCAGGGTGTTCTTACCTGGTCCAACTTGTTACTAAACTCCTGCAGTTTTTCTGCCTGGCCAGGACTGGAACTGTCCCCCAATGTGAAGGGGTTCTTGGTTACCTGCAATAAATGGCACAAGCGCTCAAATTAGGCATTCAAATTGCTAGCATCCTGCTAGGTTTCACCAGCCTAATGGAGGTAACACGAGGGTGCCTAGTTAGGCAGACTGGGTCTCCACTTATCCCATATCACCTTTCGATTGGGCAGGCACTCATGGAAATCTACACATCAACCAACTGGCAGTGATGAACAACAACTACAATTGTTTTCTTACAAACTGGAGAAGAAATGCAAAGATAAAGTTCAACTTATAAAGACAAAATGCCCAACAACTGAGTATCGACAAAGTTAATGGATTCATCAAGAGGATAAATATGTGGGTTAAGACAACACATACAAGGAGGCTTCAAAAAGGTCATGGAAAAACTCCATTATCATTCAATTCCATTTTCCCACAAACTTTATGAAGCTGCCTTGTATGTATGTAGGGGAGTTTTAGGTATTGATAAGACCTTCATCCCCTCATTTTACAGTGATATAAATGCTTTATCTGAAATCAAAAATTACAGGGTCCCAGAGGAATTTTCATTAAAAATTTCCCATAAACTTTTCTTCCCAACCCAAAATTACATTTAAGTCTCTTAACTCAGCTTTTAGGCAAAGAAATCCCAAGTGATCAGCACCAAAAACTAGGCCATTTGAGGTCTTTCAGCCCTTTTCCCACAGCAGAATTGCTGGGCGCAGCTCTAACTACACGCAAGGGAGGGACTCACCAGCTCCCGGATGTCCTTCAGCAGCCCCTCCAGTGTGGTAAACTTGCCCCCGAGGATAGCCATGCCCAGTTCAAATTCCAACTCTGGGATTTCCACGCTACAGGTCTCAGACTGAGAGAGGAGAAGTCTAATGAAGCTTTCAATCAGGAGCAAAGAAAATTAACCAGAAGCCTCTGCCAAGTTAATACCAGCAAGTGACCGTTCAAGGATAAAAGTCAGCTGAACCCATTTCTGTTTCCCCCAGGTTAAAGTTAGAGATGTGCTCATGTCAATCTGAACCAGAGAAAAGGAACCAACTCAATAGAGGAAGACTGAATCGCAGCTCCAAGCCGCAGGGATCTGTCAGTAGACATCAGAGAAGAGGGCCCATTACAGATCCGAAATGCCAAAAAGCTACAGAATCATAACAAAGAGTTTGTGGTTCACCTTCTGGATCTGAAATTCCAGCAACAGATTAACCATGCTCAAGTTCCCCAAACCCATGGAAGTTGGTAGACGCACCTCATGCCTCCAGGATAGTATTTTTTTTTTTTCCTTAAATGTTTTATTGTGAATTATGTGATAGTTTACATGGAAGAACATTAGTTTTACATTCATTCTATAGTATATCGTCTCATTGCCATGGTTACAATCCCCTCCATGCAATCCTTCCAGGATAGTATTTTTCAGAGAAAGACTAAGAGGGGGCTTCAGAGAGGTCTTGGAAAAAATAAATGGAACTTAAAGGACAATGAAATTTTACCACAAATTTTTTGAAGTGCCCTCGAATTTCTTCGAGATAGGGACAGAGATGAGGACAATGATCATTTGCAAAAACATTTATTACCTTGAGGAGATCTCTGGTCATATCTGAGGAGTCAGTGACATAAAGGGTGATTCTGGTGCCCAAGGGCTCTACCGCGCCTCCAGACTTCACCTGCACACAGGATAGTCGTCTGTAGCAGCAGCAACAAGAACCCAGGCCTCAGCTAGCACCAGTGAGACCTCGAGGATAAGCTTTGACCTCCAATCAGTTGGAGCCTTTTAAAGGCTCCCAAAAACAAAGGCTTCTAAGCCACAGGAACAACAGCCACCCAAATGAATAAACACAAAGAGCTGGCCAGGCCTGGAGTGCCCAGCACCAACAGCCTGCCAAAACTTACCCAAATTGTCAAGAAACCCTGACTTTACCTTTAAAACATAAAATCAGGACTCTCCGAATTGAAAAGAACTTTAAGGGTTTCATCAACTGCAGCTAATGTGTTTATAATAGCTACATGACTTTAAGAAGGTAGCCATCTTATGCTTGAATACACGTTATTGTTGTTAAGTGCCGGCTGCCGACTCACAGCGACTCAGTATAGGGTTTCCAAGGAGTGGCTGAGCTTTTGGTTAACAGTCTAGTGCTTACCCTACAGCACCATCCCAGGACTTCATAGGGAAAGGGAATTTACAACCCCCAAAGCAGCCTATTTTATTTTCACACAGCTCTGGCTGTTGGGAAATTCTTTATTAGGGAGTCACAATCTGCCCCCCCTGAACTTCCACCCCTCTCAGGAGAGAGACAAAGTGTTGTCTCTATTCCATATAACTAACATGAGTCTTAAATGAGTTATGGTGCCTCTTTCTTCTCTAGGCTGATTCCCATTTCCTTCAAGGGCTCCTGAACTTACACTAAGCGTAAGAGAAAGTCCCAAGTCCCTGTAACCCAGAGCACTAGGTATAGAGTGGGTGAAGTTAGAGAAGGAGATCACCCTTACCTTAAGCTAGTCTTCACCTCAGAAACAGCAGCCCACCTACCTCATTGGTCCGATGCCCACAGTTCTCACAGTTGGTAGCCATGATGATAACCTCCTTAAAGTGGGGGATTTCTGGAAGATGTGGTCAAGGAAATCTGCTTCCAGGAGAGCAAGAGCACCCTTTGGAGAACAAATCCAAACTCCAAACCAGTAAGTGCTGGTTCCAGAATAGTCAGGAAACAGATCACAAAAAGCAGCCGAACACAGACGCTGCTCCAGAGGAGAGCAATTCCCCAACCCATGGTGATCCCTGTTAACAAATGTGTGCAGATGGAGTGCAAGTCACATGCAGGAGCCTCAAGACCATGGTCTCATCCTCTCCTTGGATCCAAAAAGCCAGGGTACATCGTCTTACTAATAAAAGGCAACATCTTTCTCATCATCAGAATGGAACAATCTGAGTACCACTTCAGGCCTGAGCCAGAGGAGCAACCCAACTGCCCAACAAAAGATACGAACTAGCTTCATGTTGGTTTGAGCTGGAGCACCGCATTCTGGGCAGTTTGTGTTGAACTGTAGCACCTAGAATACAATTTGGGGACACAGGGTGAGCCTTTCCAGGAGGATACTCAGTCAAAGACTCACAGTGGTACCCATGTTGGTGATGAAGAAGAGAGCCACTGAGCAGTCTCAGTCCCTACTCCTTCATGGACAATACTCACTTCATTTTTGAGATCATCCTCTTTCGGCTTCTCTTCTGGTACCTCTGCCTAAAATAGCAGACATACAAATCATATGTTGGCAGGTATGCCTCAGCCTCCCAACACCCTACCCAAGAGTGGGAGAGAATGCTGCAGTTTGCTCATGCCACATGCCACCTCATGGGTTTGACAGTGATGTGTCAAAGCCCCAGTCAGTGGAAGAAGAGAGTTCAAGATTGACTACAGCCACTGTCATCCTTTACCAAGAGATTTACGCCAAGTCTTTGGTGGGAACCCAAATGCTCCTTCAAAGTAAGGATGATGAGACTCTATCTCATGTTCTTTGGACGTGTTATGCAGAAGGGCCAGTCCCGGAGAAGGACACCATACTTGGGAAAGGGTCAGTGAGAAAGAGGAAGACCCTCAATGAAATGGACTAATAACAGCTGCTGCAACAATGGGCTCAAACATAACAACTGTGATGACGGGGAGGACAGGGCAGTGTTTCGTTCTTTTGTATGCAGGGTCACTATGAGTTGGAACCAAATCAACTGCGCATAAAAAAACATGAGAGGCAAAAACATACTGTGATAGCTGGACTGCAAAGTCAGTTTGAACCAAAGGTTGGTGGTTCAAGCTCCTCGAAAACCCTATACAGGATCACTATGGGTCAGAACCTACTTGACAGCATTTAACAACCACCACCACCGACTCCTCTATGAAAGAAATGACCTGGTGATTTTTCCCTCATTAAGATTTCAAAATAGGAAACCCTATGAGGTAGTTCTACCTTGTCCTACAGGGTCACTATGAATTGGAAACAACTAAGCAACAATACACATTTAATTCTCAAAGCTACTTTATGAGATAGGTACTATTTACACTGCTATTTTATAAAAAAGAACATAGACCCAGAACATTTACAAAACATGCCGAAGGGGATAAGATTCTTATGATTCAACAGTAATTGTTATCATGACTAATTGTGACTGTCACAACTGTAAAGGTAGAAGTTTTGTAACAAAACAGGGGAGTGGTTAATCTTACAGTCCAGAAAACAGAGGACCCTAGGATCATCAAGGGAGAAGAGCACATGCAGAATGCTGGACCTTATCCAGTGAAGCAGCAACATCAGAGATGGAGGTAGAGTTGGGGACATGGAGAGAGGGAGTAGCTGAGGACTCTAGATATATGGAAAGAGAGGGACTGAGAGCTGGCAGCTAGGAGGTAGACTTGTAGAATGTGTCCTTTGGTGGTGTAAACTATTATATATGCCTGAGTGTTTTTAAAAAAAAAAGAGCTAAAGTGAATAGAGAGAAATACTATTAACTGATGGTACATGGAGGGGATTATAATCAGTGTAATGAAACAAAGTATATGATTTGTTGAATGTAAAACTGATGATTTGCCCTGTAAACTGTCATGCAATTCACAACTTATACAAAAAAAAAACCCAAACCCATACTGTGACACAGTGCCAGGGCATCAGTAGCAAAGTAGGTTTCCACAGACTCCAAGCAATTTTAGAGAATTTTGGCCCTTTATATCCATTTACCTGGAGTCCCAGCATCTCATCCTGCTTTGAAGTCCGGGTGTAGTGTGTGATCAGCAAGGCATCATCTTTCTGGGGAGCAAATGGGTTTTCCACGAAGCTGTTCCCTGAGGGATCATCAATGATCTAACAGATGAGTAAGGAAACAGTAAATGTAGCAAGAAATCATATAAGAATCTCAATCTTGGTGGTTGGTCTTCCCCCAAATCTAGGACAACTAGAGTTCCTCAACACTTACCAGAGTGAAAGGGGAAGCCAGTTGCTTTAGCTCCTTCAGTTTGACAATGAATTCATCAATTCTTTCAGCTATGGTTTCTTCACTTGCCTGTCATGAACAGAAAAGACCTATTTGCCCTAGTGGTATAGCGCCTACCCACCATGCCCATGTCACTTCCAGCCCTGTCTTAACATGAGTGGGAACAGCACACCAGCTTGCAGTTTATGGGTGGTGCCAGATGACCTCAATTCCTCACTCATTCCACCATTTAGGTCTAGGCACTTGTGCTGGGGTAGGGGCAGAGCAGTAAATAAATCACAGTCCTGTCAAAGGATCCCAACTAACTGGGAAGACACACGACTAAATATGCATTTATATTACATTGTTTTGTCATAATTAATCTCAAGATCGAGTGGAATACTCAGGAAGCATAGATAACTAAAAGTATTTTAAAAGATTCATCAGAGGTAATATCACACTGGCTACCTGAGATGAGGACGAGCCCTGGTAGTGTAATGGTTACACATTGGGCTGCTAATCACAAGGTCAACAGTTCGAATCTACCAGCAATTCTGCAGAGGAAAGATGAGGCTTTCTGTTTCCGTAAAAATGTAAAGTCTTGGAAACCCTATGCAGGGTCGCTGTGAGTCAGAACTGACTCAACGGCATACCACCACCATCTGAGATGAAGAGTACTGATGCGGCATTGTAGGGTAAGCACCGGACTTATCCAACAGCAATTCAAACCCACCAGATGCTTCTCAGAAACTCCATACAAGGTTGCTATAAGTCAGAACCAACTCAATGGCACTTAACAACAATCTGAGATGAGACTTGAATTTATACTGAGGAGAAAGGAACAGCAGAAAAAAATGTACTATGACAGCTACAGCATCACCACGTACTTCCTCAAAATATTCTCACACATTCAAGTCAACTACATGGATAGCCAATACATGTCCATTCAGAAACCTGTATTAAATTGTTCCTTAAGCTGCTGCCATCAGAAAACCCCAACTCACCCTTCGTGTAGGCTGGTCCTGCTCCAGGCCAGAAATAGCACGGCTGATCAAGCCTTCAACAGTGGTCAGAGCTTGAGAACAAGAACAAAAGATATGTGAGTCTTGGCTCTGCTGTCATGTCCCCGAATGACCCTAAGCAACTCACTTGACCTCTCTGGGTCTTAACTTCCTATCTGTAAATGAAGAAGCCAGACACAGGATCCATTCATCTCTAATAACAGGGATACTACAATTCTATAAAGGTACACCATAGTCTATTGTTGTTGTTGTTGGGAAGTGCCGTCGAGTCAGTTCCAACCCACAGCAACCCTGTATAGGGTTTCTGAGGAGCGGCTGGTGAGCTTGAACCACCGACCTTGAAGTTCAAACAGCTTTGCAGTCTGGTGCATTATCCCACAGCGCCACACTAACTACTATCTCAGACTGTTTTACTTAAGATGTCTACTCATGTTAAACCATTCAAGTTCGTAATAATTACAGAGCTAATCCCATACACAAGCTACTAAACTGACACAAGGGGTTTTGCAACAGTGCAGGAAAGATTTCAGGTGCGTGTGAACAGCTCAAATGCCCACTCTTCAACTTACCGCCCTTCTGGCTGAAAGCAGGAATTTCAAAATCCAGTTCGGGGATCCTTGTGGAGGCAGAGTCAGTCTTCACCACCTCTCTGTTCATGTCCTGGGCAGAAAGAAATACGCTGGGTCCAGAAAGAAGGGTTAACAATACAAGCTGTTCTCAGGAAACGTCATCTTCCATTTAACTCCAGCCCAGCTAATTTCTCCTCTCTCCACTCCAGGGAGTCAATACTACTCCTGCAAATAGTCCAGGTAGTGTTAGGCTACCCAGATGATAAGAATACTTACTAGTCAAAGCAACCATTGCACGTTTCCTATTCTCTGACAACTTTCACCCATCTTATTTTACCTAGGAGGATGATACACAGGCACCATTTTTCAAAGGAAGGAACAGGCTTGTTGGCATAGGGAGATTTACATGAAGACCCATCAAGACTGGACTCCAGTCTCCAAACTCGCTCTAGAATACTGGGGTACCTGCTCTGGGTTGTCTCACCTCCTGGGCTTTCACGGTCAAAGTGTAGCGCACTCCCTGGTCCTGGATCCTGCCTGCCGACTGGATCTCCGTGTTGGTCCAGCCACAGTGCTCGCACGAGAAAGAGCTCACGATTATTTCTCGGAAGAAGGGGATCTTGGTGAGCAGGAGGCGCGTCACGCCCTAAGAAAGGCGAAAGCACCAAAGGAAGAAATCGATGAACCCCCAATTCCACGCCCTAAAGACCCAGGAGGCACAGACCGGTTCCCAATTGAGCCCCTCCAGTCCTCTCTCCGCGGCAGCCTAACCCTCCGGCCACCCGCGGCCGCGCCCCCATCTCACATTGCGGTAACAGTTCATGCACAGTGAGTCGATCTCGGTGGGCTGCTGCTCTTCGTCCTCGGCGCTGATGGGTCGGAACAAGCTTCCCGGGGCGAGAGACCGGGTCAGGGCAGCTGAGGGGGCGGTGGTAGCTCCCAGGGACCCTGATTCCACAGCTCCAGTATCCGACATCGCTACCACGCGCCTCTCAGCTCTCCGCTTCCGGCTTCCGCTCCTCTCTCCAGCCTTCTTCCTCTGGCATTTCCGCCAGCTGTGAACCCGCCCTTTCTTAAAGAGGCCGCAGACCTTGGGCCTTCGGGGAACCAAATCTGAAGGTTTTATGATTCTTCAGACTTCCATAGCCAGCGCTAGTCAATTTTAACCTCCACCTCAGTTCTAGTATCATTTCATCCCAAAATGTCCTCTCAAGCCCGTTCCAATTTTTTGTGTTCTCCGGTAGCACCCACCCATTGCAATCCGTTCCGACTCTTAGAGACCCTGTAGAACAGAATAGAACTGCTCCTTAGGGTTTCTGAGACAGTAAATCTTTAGGAGAACAAATAGCGTCATCTTCTCTTGGGAGATGCTGATGGTTGAACCACTGACCTCGTGTTTAGCAACCCAATGCCTAACCTACAGCACCACCAGGATCTGCCTGCAAGAGCTTTGAGGGCAAGGGACCTGTCTGGTCTTCAGCATCCCTGAGGAGGTGAGCTTAGTTCCACTGTTGGGCCAAACGCTGCTTTGGCGCTAAATACCCTCTCTCTGGTTTTTGTTTGTAAACGTTTCCTCCTAACCTCTCCTCTCCTTAAACTGGGCCCATAACCCAGTGTTATAGCTGAAAGTAGCTAAACCCAGGGTGTTAAGAGGTTTTACCTGTGGACATGACAAGCCAGATTCATGTGGGGTATGATGTGAGGGATTGGGAAGGTATTGGGACCCCTTCTCATAGATTGAAGTATGTCCCCCGCAAAAAATATGTGTCAACTGGCTGGGTCATGATTCTAAGTGGTTTGACAGTTAAGTGATGATTTCCAATGATGTGATCTGATGTGATAATCCAATAAAAGGATCAAGAATGGGGTGCAATAGCCTTAATCCCATCACAGCTATGATCTGATGTAAGGGAGTTTTACATAAGTATGGCCAGCAACATCTTTTATTTTGTTGTTATTGTTAACTGCCTTCAAGTTAGTTCCAACTCATGTTGTTGTTGTTGTTAAGAGCCATTCAGTCAGTTCTGACCCATAGCAACCCTGTATAGGGGTTCCAAGGAGCCGCTGGTGAGCTGGAACCACCAACCTTGCAGTTCAAACGACTTTGCAGTCCAGCACATTAACCCACAGTGCCACACCAGGACTCCCTGCAGCGACCCCTAATAGGGTTGCCGAGGAGCAGTTGGTGGGTGTGAACTGCTGATCTTGAGGTTAGCAGTCCAGTGCTTATCTTACAGCCCAACACCAGGACTCCATCTTTTCTATTACAAGAGAAAGAGACCGGAGTGGAGTGTGTCCTTTGGACCTGGAGTCCCAGCACTGTGAAACTCCTAGATCCAGAGGAAGAGTGGTGCCAAAACACAGGGAAATCTTCAAGAAGTGCTGGAAGGAGACGAGTACCTTCCTCCTAAACTGTTAGTCAACAGAGTGAGAAAGCTTTCTCTAGAATTCAGACTTCAGCCTCCTATGTTGTGAAGGAATAGATTGCTGTTTGTTAAAGGCATACACTTACGGTATTTCTGTTATAGCAGCTCTAGAGAACTAAGATATCCCTGCACTCAGGTCCTGAAAAGGACATGTTAAAGGAAAAGGGGCTGGGGCCTGGGCAGCCCTTTCCTCTGTCCTCCCTTACCCACAATTCCAGAGGTCCCAGGAGGATCTATGAGGAGCTTTGGTGCTCCTAAGCAAATGTATATATGGGTGAGGGAATTTGAAGGTTAAGGGATTCCAAGAAGGAGTCGGTCATTAAGAGACCAAAGTTTGGTATAGCAGGAATAAAGGAGACAAGCCATTTCTGAAGTCTCTGTCTCCCAAGACCACAGTCCTACCCCCAACCCACAGCAGAAAGCTGCATCTAGCCAGAAAGTCTCAAAGCAGAGCCCAGCCAGAGCCAGGCCCTTCTGACTGCCTTTGACTGGGTTGTTGTTGTGAAGTGCTGTCAAGTCGGTTCCCACCCATAGAGACTCTGTATAGGGTTTCTAAGGAGCAGAACCACCAACCTTGCAGTTCAAACAGCTTTGCAGTCTGGCGCATTAACCCACAGCCCCACACCAGGATTCCCTTGACAGGGTAAGGCTAATGAAAATGAGCAGCACTGGAGTGAGTGGTAGGTGTATGTGCACTGGGAAATGAAGCCACTGATCTCAGTTATGACACAAATGAGAAACACGCCAGGTAAACATGTTTCCATCATAAGCATCTATTTCAATGGAGTCAGAAGATGTTTCAGCTTGGGAATCAGAAGGGAGGAGCTGGCCATGGGGAGGGCATACAATCTGCTCCCCAGAGGGCTTAAGAAGTCCCCACAGTTTGAATGGTTCAGTTAGGACCTGTTTACAGGTATAGAGCTATGTAAGGAATTACAGGCTCTGCTCCCTCCCATGATTCCTATCCACCAGCCTCAAATCCAGCAGGAATTCACACACACACACACACACACTCTGTATTCCCTTCATATTTTCCTCCTTTCTCCCAAAAGTGCATGTCATGGGGGAAGAAAGCTCCTCTCCGTGGACCATCTGAAGCAGGGGCCACGAGTTGACCAGAGTGACCGGAGTTCAGCTCAGGAGTGAAGTGGCACAGGCTTCCCGGCACAATTGCAATGGGCTTGCAGTTAACGACCTGAACACACAGTGCTTCTTTCCCCTCCCCACTCCCACCAGCCCTGACTGGTTTCCCAAATGAGCCCAGGAAGCCGGTTTGTAAAGCCTGGTAGTGTAATGCATCCGGATGGGGTTTGCAAGAGGCTGGCCTCACTGCTTCGGATACTCTGGCCTTCGCCCAACAGGTCATTGTCGGGACTAAGCATGCTAGGGGCTCAGGTCTCTGGCTCCCAGACTAAGAGCTGGGGCGTTGACACCTGGGCATGAGGACACTCAGGATTCCCCCAGATGGCTAGGGTCCTGGTCGTGGAGGCTGTGGCTGATGTCTTCCCACAGGTCGTCAAGACGGGCCTGAAGCTTGCTCAGGGCCTTTCCTCTGTCTGCTTGAAGGAATTCAGGAGCAAAGGCACTGTGGCCTGGTGGGGGCGGCGCCAGCTGCTGCTGGACCTCCTCCGTCTCCCGGTCGATGGCTTGGGTGAAAGCAGCGATCTGCAGAAAGGTGTCATGGCGGAAAGCCTGGAGTCGCTGACGTACCTCCTCTGAGAGCACCTGGGGGTCAGGGACGGTCTCCTCCTCCGCGCCATCCGCCCCAGCGCCGGCGAAGGCACTGAGCTCATCACGCAGTTGGTCCAAGTTCTGCTGGATGCGTGCGTGCAGCGCCTTGGCCTGAAGCGTGAGTTTACGCGAGAGTACTTGCACACAGCGACTGAGGCGCTTGGGACTGGCGGGGGCGTGGGGTGCCACGCTGCGGTGCAACTCCTGCACGTGGCGTCCGATGCCTGTCACCAGGCGCTCGGCGTATGGGTGAAAGAGTTCCTTAACACGGCCGGTGGTGTGTGCAACACGGTTCTGCAATTCCTGCAGTAAACCTCGCGCCTCACCCACGCCCCCTAGCAGCTGGGCCTTGGTGTCCTCCCCGACCACGCGCAACTGCTCCTGCAACTCCTGGACTCGCAGGGCCACCTGCTCCATCAGCTCCACAGTGTAGGGTTTCAGCTGCTGCCGCAGCCCCTCCAGATTCCAGCCCACGCGCTCATGCGCCTCGGTCATGTATGGCGCCAGGCGTGCCCTCACCTCTTCCAGCTCCTCCTGTAGCTGCTGTCGTGTGCCTTCGGGGTCCTGCGGCTGTCCACTCAGAGGGCCCAGCTTTTCGAGGAACTTGTCCATATTGTTGAGGTTTTGTTCAAGACTGTCTTTCAGGCTCCTAGGGGAGAGGACAAACATCCAGGCCATCAGACTCCTACCCTCCAGTACTGTCTTCTTTGCCCCAGAGACATCTCCGAGAAAACTCAAGGACTGTAGCCCAAAAGCTGGGAATTCTAGTCCTAACCTCCTCACACATGCACTGAAGAGAGCACATCTCATGCAAAACACTGTCTGAAGAAGCATAGATGTACCTCGAGTCTCATAGAATCCTTATTCTGAGGGCCACCGTGGGGTCTTCAGCCTGATCCCAGGACCCACACCTCAGTGAAGTCAGGGCTGGGGCTACAGGTAGAGAATGCTGAAGAGCCCAGGAAGACCAGGAGATAGCTGGACAAGGCTAACACCATTCCAGCTGGGCCATGTCCAGTCAGGACTGCAGAAGTTGAGGAATCAGGGACAGTGCATCATCCCTTGGTTCTCTTCACCCACACCCCTTGCCCTAGCCACTCACAAGGGCTCCCGCGTCAGCTTCTGCTGCTGCATTTGCTCCATCCTGCCTTTGTCTTTGCTGCTCTGGCTGAAGTAGTCCCAGAAGCTTTTCTGTGCCTGGGTGACTGAAGACCCTGTGGAGAGACATGGAGTTGAGCAAGGACTGAGTTCTCCTCCCTCAGGTGTACAGCACCCCTCTGTCCAGGGTTGGAGACCCACCTGAAAACAGGGCCAGAGCCCATATCAGAACTGCAGCCCCACATGCCATTGTCCGCTCTGAGAAGGAAGGTGAATGGAGGCCTGGTTGAGGTGAAGGCACAAAAGGAGGGATGTCTGTCACAGTGACTTCCCTCAGAATCTACCCCAAACCTTAGGATGGAGGGAAAGCAGAGCTGTTAGCCTACATAAATGTAGCTGAGAGGGAAAGGGTATCTTCCTCAGACATGGGGGTGGGCGAGCAAACTGTTCCCTTCTCACCTCAGTCACATAATATGTGTGAGTGTGAGCTCAAACCATTTTGTAAAAGCTCTCCCACCAGCTCTTTCCCCAAACCCCAGGAAAGTTCTCTAGCCCACTTCTGTCTCACTCCCTTATCACCTGTCCTTCCAATTCATGGCTGGGAAAACTGAGGCATACCAAGAAGGGCAAAACAGTGCTGCCAAAGTGCTCCAAGAGACTGTTCTCACTTCTTTGTTCTATCTCCAGCTCTCTGCTGATGGCTCCAATCCCCAGTCCTTAGCCTGATTACTTGCTTACCTGCCTCAGTTCTGGGCACAGAGAGCAGACATTCAGCTTTATACTCCAGGAGCCTGGGTTGCTGGCAACAATTGTTCTGAGTAAATACCACGTGGAGGTTCAAAGAAGGATGACCTCAGCTGCCATCCAGCACTCACCTCCTGCCCTTTTCCTGGCAGCCAGAGGGTTAATGAGTGTTCTGGTATCATTAGGGGCTGCCCCAGTACAGAAGTACTTCCTGGCAAATTTTCTTGGGAGTGGGACTGAATTCCCAATTCCCCCTACCTCCCATGACCTTCAACTTTCCCAGTGTCCTGCTGGCTGGCCCACCAAATAGAGATGAGCTTGTTTGTCTGCTGAAGGCCCCTCTCTTACTCAACTGCCCTGATATATTGTACCCCAGACAAACAGCAGCAGTGTCCCGCTGCTGACCAAAGCCTAAGCAACCCTTGATTGACTCAGTCAGACTGAGATGAGCCGGCATTTGTGGAGTTATATAGATCTTCTCACATCCTGTTTTGTGAAATGATCCTAGACCCAGCAGAGGAAGACAGGTGGGGTGAAGATGAGACGGTGAATGGTGTCTGGGCCAGGGATGCTGGGCCCAAGGAAGTGAAGCAAGAGCAGGATTCTCTTCATGGGGAAAAGTTTAACTCCATCCATAGATCCTTTGAACTCCATCCATTTAGACTGTTCTCTGAGGGTATACCCACTCCATATATTTTACACACACATTCATAACGCCTGATTTTTGTTCCTGTTTCTTGAATCTGTCCCATCTGCTACATCTCTGTCACCCCCACTGCCTCTATTTTTCTCACCTTGATTGCATCTATAGTCTCCAACAGGTCTTTCTGTCACCTTCCTGCTTATCTGATCCTCTATCTCATTTTAGCCCATTTCTAATCTTCTGGCAAAGCTTCTGACATTCTCTGAACACACCACCTTTTTCAGACTCCTGGGCCTTTGTTTGTGGGGTTTCCTTGCTTGAAATATTCTGTACCCTGGTGTGGTGCTGTAAGATAAGCAATGAACTGCTAACCATAAGGTCTGTGATTCAAACCCATCAGTCACTCCTAGGAAACCCTATTCAGTATCATTATGAAGTAGAGTAGACTTGACAACACTTAACAACAACAACAGTTAACTTAAAGCAGCTTTAGTAGCATAGTGGATTACACATTGGGCTGCTAAACACAAGATCCATAGTTCGAATCTACTAGTCACTCTTCAAGAGAAAGACAAGACTTTCTGCTCCCGTGAGGATTTATATAGCCTCAGAAACCTATAGAGGGTCATTATGAGTCAGAATTGATTCCACAGCACACAACCATCCCCACCACCAGTGAAGTAAAGGAGCCCTGGTAGTATAGTGGGTTACACATTGGGCTGCTAACTGCGAGGTCAGCAGTTCGAGTACACCAGATGCTCCACAAGAGAAAAATGAGGCTTTGTGCTCCAGTAAAGATTTATAGACTCCATTATTCTGTGAGTCGGAATTGACTTCATATTCCAGTGAATTTATAGGAACACTGGTGGCACTGTGGCATAAGCACTGGACTGTTAGCCACAAGCTTGGCAGTTTGAGCCCATCAGCCACTCCATGGAAGAAAAGGCTTTCTGCTCCTGTAAAGATTTATAGCCTCAAAAATGCTATACATATTCACTCTGAGGGGGAACCGTCTTGATGACACCTACAACAGCAACAACAATGAACTTACATTCATTTGATTCAGATTTAGTTTGTATTTATTAAGATTATATTCAGCTGGAAGTTAACCAAAGGAAAACGAAGACAGAAGAACTTAAAGAAAATGGAATTTTGTTTTTCCAAAATGCCTTCTGTCTTGTTGCACTATTAGTCAATAAGAGGCTAATGTCCTGTTGAATGAGCCTGCTCTGGCTCTAGCTATCAAGTCCAACTACGAGACTACTAGAAAGAAGAAAAGTAGAAGGACACACTCCCTCTCTTTGAAGACACATCTCAGAAATTGTTCTTACCATTCTACCAACATTTCATTGGCCAGAACCTCCTCACATGGCTCCACTTAGCTGAAAAGGAGACTGAGCTATGTAGCCTTTATTCTGGGTGACATGTGCCCAACTGGAAAAGGTGTTTACTCAGAAAGAAGAGAAGAATGGATTTGGAAGGGCAATCATTATCTCTCTCTCTTTTTTTTAATGTTTTATTGTGAATTATGTGATAGTTTACATGGGAGAACATTAGTTTTACGTTCATTCTATCGTGTATTGTCTCATTGCCATGGTTACTGTCCCCTCCATGCAATCCTTCCCCCAGACCCCCCAGGTCTTCAGCACACAGTTGCTCTCCCTCTCTGGATCTAAAGTCTCCAGCTGCTCCATCGCTTCACGTCATCATCTCTGCCTCCATTTCAGGCATCACTGCTTCTCTGGGTAGGGTCCCCCTCTCTGCTCTTCTCCCTTGATGGTCCCAGGGACCTCCGCTCCTACACTGAAA